GTATTTTTAATAGTAGGAATATGCCACGTTTGGGTCAAAGAAAATCGCCATGAAACTTTTCCTAGAAACATCAGCAACGTTGGTCAATCAACGTATGGGCAGGCATTGTTGATGATTATTCGATCGGGCCATACCTTCTACCGGAACGTATTTACCGGCGTTTCTTGGAGGAAGTTCTTCCAGAACTTCTTGAAAATGTTCCATTGAACGTTCGACACCAAATGTGGTTTGAGAATGATGGAGCGCCGGCTCACGTTGCTATACAAGTATGTGTATCTGAAGTCACTTGAAATAGCATAAAAACCTTTGGTCGGCGCGTCCTTTGTAATTCATGACGTATCATAGGCGTGCGGCATTTATTTAGAACGATAATAATAATGTTTTTATATCACAATAAATGGATTTTACTATCTTCTTATTTTTTTGATTTGGGATAAAAAATACTTATATTGGGAGTTTAATTTATGTTGACTGAAAGTTAAGAAATGGAAAAATTACAGAATTCCAACGTTTGACATAGGCAAATATTTACATAGCAGGTAGGTATATAAAAAGGTATATAAGGACTTACATTATAGGTATTTATATATCATCCTCGCCTTCGGAGCTGTCGCTAGAGTCATCTTGTAGAGGAATTACAACGGGATTTACAGGAGGCAAAACACAATATTCATTTTCTTTTTCAATAATATGCCTAGAACACTGCTTCCATAGGTCTGTGGCAGCAATATGAGATACTGCATCTCTTATTGTAGCCAATAGCGATTCACTTAATTGAGGGGTCTGATTATGTTTTCTTACTTTTTTTTAAAGCAGCCCAGACCAACTCAATCGGGTTAAAAATGCAGTAATAGGGAGGTAGACGTAATACTTCAAGGCCATTTTGCTGAAGCAGATTGTCAACAACATACTCTTTTTCAAATTTTTGTCTTTTAATAAGATCCAATAATATGGCTTTGGTTGATTTTTGTGGTATTTCCATTCCCTTATCCTTCATAAAATCAATAATGTCTTGTTTTTTTTGTGCCTGTATTCGGAATTTTGTTTTTCTGTCGGAAATGGTATGGCGCATTGTCCATAATAATCACTTAATTTGGGGAAATGTTTGGTATTAACTGCTGCTCTATCCACTTTTCAAATAAGTCGGAGGTCATGTCCTCATGATAGTCGGCACATGATTCTTTGATATTTTTGGCAGATAACAGCAAGGCATTAGGTATAAATCCATTTTCACTGCCATCATGGAGAATAATGATTCGTTTTCCACGGTTGCATGGTGCATTTAAAATGCACTTGTTGCTGTCGTCAACCCAGCCGTACTGCACAACATCATGGGTAATCATACCACGTTTCATCTAGCTAAATCAGATTTCTTTTCTGCTCTCTATAGATTTTAACTTTGTGCAAAAATTCTTGGCGCAATTCAACGATTCGAGACGACTCCATAATCACCATTCTTTTATCTAATTTTTGTATTGAAAACCACACAGTTTTACAATACAGTGCAGTGAGTCTAAGCATTTGTAATTATAAAAATCTTCAGGATAATCTTTTAATTTATCCCGTATCATTTCCACGTGGGCACCAAATTTTCTTTATAAATCCGTATATTATACGACGAATATCTTCCTGAAAACCCACGTCTATTCTTTTTAATTTTTGCCCTATGCGCTTTCTGTGGAAGGAATGGTTGACTACATCTCCCCTTTTTATAACCCTCTAAATCTTTATGAAAGAATTCTGCCTGCACAGGTTCATCAACCATCTCCTCGTGGCTTGGAGCATTTTCCCAAGGTCTCCAAAGAGCCATATTTAGGACACACAAGAACAATCAACACAACAATTAAATCAACAAATAACTGAGTATTAAAAAGTCAAAAACACACAAACTAATAAAATCTATGAAAAAAACACGGACAGACTAAAGAAGAAACATGTTTATTCACCGCGACACGGCACTGGCTAAACTGTTTCAATTTTCAGTAGCCACCTGCACTTGTTCCGAGCTCTGAAATACACGCTTCTCATTGGCTATGTCCACGCATAGGCGTGCTTTACTCCACGTGGACCAGTGAAACTGCCTTTGATCTTATACGGGGGATATTTGCTGCGAAATTTGGCGATTTTTGCAGCAACAGAGCGTGTTAAACATAGATATATAAAACGCACCCGGTATTTCACAGTGTTTCAAGTGACTTCAGATAAAGTATACGTGAGTATTTGGCTCAGCGGTTTGGGCACCATTGGATTGCCAGAGGTGGAGCAGTTTCTTGGCCTCCTAGGTCACCCGATTAACGTCGCTAGATGTTTTCCCGCGGGGACATGTAAAGACTTTGGTTTACGCAACTCCAGTAGAAACAGCGCAAGACTTAATTGAACGAATTTCAGCAGCATTTGAAATCATTCAAAACGAGTATCAATTTTTTAGTCAAGTCCACCGAAATCGTGTGCGACGTTTAAATCGGTGTATTCAGGTTGGAGGAAGACATTTTGAACAATTGTTGTGATGATATCATGTACAAGAGGCAAAAAGTAAATGCATTAAATCCTATTTAGGCAATTCATCGTCTTTTTAATTTTGAACGTGTCGCAGTGACACTTTTCCGGATATCGGTCCCTATCCTCAAATGTTTTCTACTTTTACACTGAATAACCCCTTCAAGTTGTATCCCTTAGTTCTAAAGCACCCTGTATAAATAACCAGTTCAAACTCTTCTTGTTATCGTTTTCCCACTTTCTGTAAAGCCAAATAAATGCAATAGATTGTGTTTATCTCATTGGTGCGTCAGTATATTCGAAAACAAATCGAATTTATTCATTTCCAGCTATCAGAGCTTCGAAAATAGTAGCGATAATAACCAACTCCGGCATATTGGCGGTTTGCTCATATTTGTTCGTTTAATTTGAACGGACGTTCAGTTGTTATTTGGCAATGTGTCCAACCCCACCACATTATCGGATGCAGTTCATCATGTCCTAGTTTGGTTTATTATGAGGAAGCGGTTAATGCCGTTGATGTTTTTTTGATGAACATCGTTGGTTAGTATTATTTATTTGCTAGTCTTTTTTTACTTCCTATGCCAGAACTGGCGCGGATGCACAGCTTATTTTGGGCTGCCCATATCGAATCCGAGGTCGTTTTATATGTATGTGATCCCGTTTATGATGTAGTTAGCGAAAAATTGCAAAACTAGGCGTTTTTTGCGACTTTAAGGTGCTAAAAATCCATTTTAACTATCGATGGCTATATGAGAGCGGAGCTTTGCACAATGAGGTAATCTGGGGCGCTGAATATGAATATCACAGTGAAAAATTTCTCAAGTGTTATCAGACTGGATTTAGGGTAAAAAATTGACAAGAAACTATTATTCCGGGCTAGCCGTAGATTCTAACAATGTATCGACATCGAATTTGGAATCTACGCACCCGATTTATCCAGAAAACAATCTTTACTGATTAGAAAATATTATGGCCTATCTCAAAGTATAGAGGTAGTATTCATTATATTATAGATTTATTTCTATGATTGATTCCGTCAATTGGTCACAAAGTACAGGATGTTAGTTTAATACATATACACAGAAAACTAACACCCTGTATTTTGTGACCGGAACGAATTGCTCGTTTAAACATATTAGATTTAAAGCCATAGGGTTTTGTATTTACCATATATATATTGCCATACTTTGTATTTATGTAGCTTAATAAGAGAATCTTTAGCAGAAGCCATAGAAAGTTTTTATTTTTAGGCAACCTGTAAACCTGCAGAAAAACACAAATTATACAGTCAGCTTCAAATATTAAAAAAGGAAGAAGATAAAATAAAACCCGGTAATGAATCACAACAGCAATGCGAAATTAATGAAAATACAGATAAACAGAGAGCAAAACCTTCTCAGGAAGCTATGAAAAAAAGATTGCTCTACTCGAAAAAAATCTGAACGCTTTGTATTCTGTCAGAGATAGGTACTAAGCCGTGCTGAAGATGATAAACAGATCATTAAGTTGCGCGAGGAAATAAAAACAGCAAAACAGTCTTTAAACAGGAAGGTTCAAAACGCAGTTGCCCAGAAGAAACACAGGGATGGTATGAAATGAAAGTTAGAAGATATTTGTCATGAAAATCCAGAAATAAAAAAAGACTATCTCTGAAAGATTCAGTTTGACGTCCTAATCTTGAAAGCAATCAACATTCACTATTGAAAACAATCACGGATATAGCTTTATTTGGGAGTGCAGCAGATCATAGAAGACGAACGGAATCAATTCGCAGCGTAAGAACTCTTGATGAACTCACACAAGAATTACGTAAAATAGGATTTGACATTAGTCGCAGTGGGACATATCTTCATTTCATTCCCAGAAAATCTAATTCTGCAGAGGGACGAAGACATGTATCGA